CTATAGTTATAATAATAATGTGTAACACAGTACTTTAATAATTTTAATCTTAGTCGAATATCTTAACGTTTCATTCCATGTTAGAGGAATACACATAGAAATCAAAAAATAAATAAATAAAACGAAATTTTACAGTTTGCGAAATTCGCTTTAGTTTAAAGACGGTATACAAAACCTTAACTAATCTGAAGAGCACTTTTTCAACTGTAAAGAGTCAGTATATAAATCCAACGTTAGTATCACAACTATAGTCATATAATTCAAGTCTTAAATGTGGGCTTTTATGCTTCTCTTTATTTATATTTAAATTAATCGAACTAAAGTTCGAGTTTCGTTGTGGCAGGTAAATTACAAACCCCCTGAAAACTTTAGACTTTTTCATAAAGTAAACTAAATTGTTTGGTTAAATTCTTAATTATTCAATACGCCTTTATGTTTTATTTAATTATTTTAGCAATAATTTTCAGTTACAAGCAGCATGGTTTGAACAAAAATTTTAATTTGATTTCTAAAAACAAAATATGTATTCTAAAAATCGGAAACTTGATTAACAATTCTAACTAGTCATATTCATATCACGTCTTAAGTCATAAAATATTAATTTTATTAAAACTATTGTTAAAAAAGGGGATTTTTTTTTATTATTTCTGAAAGCTTTCCTGCATTTTCGTCACAATTGCTCCAAGACATTGACAAGTATCATCCCATGAAACGGTGCTGTCTCGTTATCTCAAGTCTCGTTACTAATCTTCCTCAAAGCTTCAGACGACAAGGGCATAAAAATTTAAATATCAAAAGAAAGAGTGAATAGTTTTGGAAGTCGTACAACAAAAATTTGAAATTTGAAATTTTATCAAACTTCAGCACAATGAGTAACTTGAAAAGAGATTTGATCTTACAATTGCCTTCCACAGCTGTAAAGGAAGTTATGACGAAAAATAAAATGCATTTCATTTTAGCTGTCGTATAAACTTGATTCGAAAGAAATCAAACGGCTGTGTAAACGCAGACTTGCATAAAAGGTATATGTAGTTTTCGAATTTCACTTACACATGTGTTATTTTGCAATAGATATTTGATTTTTTTCCGGAAAAGTGCATCCTATTTTTATTATGTTTCAACCTGAACAAATAATTTGAAAACTTGAAGTTTGCGAAATTCGCTTTAGTTTAAAGACGGTATACAAAACCTTAACTAATCTGAAGAGCACCTTTTCAACTGTAAAGAGTCAGTGAGTTACTTTGCTTTCATTTTTTATTCAATCTTGTATCTGAGGCTACGTGGTGAAATGAAATGATACGTTAATGGATACCTGAAGCTGAATTACTGAGTTACCTCCCATATGCAAAAGAGACATGTTTAACTACACATTTTATATGTATTATCTGTTTCAGGATTTAAATAGGAATTTTTGTGGCTGAGTAAAGTACTTTACTTCAGGTAACTTTGTCACATTAATAAATAATATTTTTGATTTCTCTTCGAAAATCCAAAGTGAAAGTTAAAACACATATTACTAAACAAGTTTAATTTCAATAACATATTAATGACTATTTCTATCTATCTTGAAAAAAGAATAAATGCAAGCTAGAAATAACATCACCTCCTGAATACTTCCTGTATAGTAAAGAAAAAGATGACAAATAAAGGTACGTAGAAAGGCAAAAAACAAAATAAGGATTACTAACGTAATATTGACATATTGTTTTCTTCCAAAAAAGTAGGTTTCTTTTCTCAGTTTGTCATTTAAAGGTTTAATATTGCTAAACATTTTTTTGTCTAAAAGATTAAGCTGTGAGATTGTCTACAGTCCAATGCATAAATAAATAAAAGAATTATATTTATCATTACATGTGTATTTAATCGGTTTTTGTCATGTGCAAAATTGTAACCAATAAAGTAACATTACTGATATTTACTTTTAAAATTTATTACCCTCTACAAATTATTTCCAAAACATATCTACAAATTATCTCCAAAATTTGAAATTTCAAAGTATGTAAAAAAGATTAAAATAGCCTGAAAATCTATATTTTTCATCACTTATGAAAATTACTTCGAAAAATCTCTTCATTTAGGAAGATGTTAAGAAATTAATACCAATTCCGAAATACTAAGCTAGCTATAATGAAGGTTCTCTTCAATTGTAAATAGAAGTATTAGGAAAATCTTTTCAAAACTTAGTTAATTTTATGTTCTCGCAAAATCGTATATAAGCAGTTTTTGTAGAATCACTTGTCTTGATTGTTGTTTTATTTAAGCATTTTTATTTTGTGATCATATTTGTACATTGCATTCCACGAATCATCTGAATGTTTTGAAATAAATAGAGTTTTTCTACTGCTTTTCTTTATTTCTTTGTGTTTTAATAGTTTTGTTTTCACATATTTATTCACTTAATTTCATCATTTCAATTGCATAAAATGCATTTATTAACCTAACTGCACGTTTTAGATTTACTTTCAAGCCATAAAATATAGTTAATTGTGACACCTATTCAATTATATTCAAAGTGAAAAAACATTGCTACTTAGGAAAAATATTGGTTTCCTTAATATAATCTTCAACTATAAATCAAGGGAGGGGGATTGTTAAAAATATGTACATATATATAAATTCATGTAAATATAAACAGTGACAATAATTTCTGTCGAAAACTGAAACTAAAATTCATGTGTTACAAAAATATTAAAGAATTTCCTGAAACTTATTGCAGAACATTTTATTCTAAAAGCGAAATACAGACTTTTGCATGCTCACTTTAACATTACAATGTGCAATACCCATAATACAATTCATTTTTCACTCCTCTCCTCCTACCATAATATTTTTTAATTGATAATTGTGCTTTTCAAAATCTATCTGATCCTTAAATGTCTGTAAAAAATAATTGTTCTCTGTTTATTGAAAAAAATTTGTTGACAGAATTAGTAATCTACAATGTTATCCTGATAATATAAAAACAGTCTGTGCTTTTAAGAGGAAGAACTTTCATACGGTGCTTTGGAAAAAGAGTATCTTAAATTACATATAATAAATAACTTACTGTTGTTGGCTTCAGAATTAAAATTTTAAAAATTGGTCAAGTGCTTAATCTAGAACGTTATTTCATATTTACATTGCAAAAGCAAAATGTTTTAAAGAGCCACCAAATGCAAATTCATAATTTAGGAACAAAGATTTGTTTCGCATGGATTCAGATTATCTGCCTGTACATTTATAAATATCAATTTTGTAAAACAGCAAATTTCTACTACGCATGTGTCTTGTAATCTCATAATACAAAACAGCTTATTCCGAGTAATATAATCCTACTCATGAACACATTTCACGTGGTTTTAGAAGGGTTAAGACTTTCATGATTCAAAGTTATCTTTTGTAAGTAAAAATCAGTTTGACTTAACTGAAATGTAACCTCAGAATAAATATTAACAAGTTATATATATATATATATATATATTGAACAGACTCACATGTACACTTAAAAACATCCAGTATTTTAAAGTTCTGTAGCATTCGTAGTTAACTTCAACATCAGTAAAGGAAATTTAAATGCCATTATAAAATGACATTTAAAATCTATGTCAGAAATTTCATTTGCTTGAAAAAAATCCATCATAAAAATACAGCGTACTAATCATTTTTACTTTTCTAATCATCCAAATTGAGTTAAAGCTGCTTTATGTAAATTTTAGTATTTTTCTGCTTTTCAGTGTTTCATTTAAATATGTCCATGAAATTTACAATTATAGACAACAGGTCTTCTTTAAGACTTCCATTCCTACTTATCAGTAACATGTATACAAAACAATAATAGTTATTAATAATATATTCTCATACAATTAACACTCCTCCTCTTAAAATTACTACTGATTTGTTCTTCTTTGACAGTGTATGTTATTATAGTTTAAAAAATTATATGAAAATTAAATGTTAACTAACTGCTATTATTTAAACTATGATATTAATAACGTTATGTCTAACCATTTAGCAGAGTACTAATGCGTCTAAAGTGAAATAAAAATAAACAAATAAAAATAAGCAAAATAAAAAAGTCCTAAAACTGAAAATTTGTAGGACATTTTAATTAACCTATAATGATTTTATTTTAGGCAAATTTTAGTGAATTAATATTTTGCAAACTCAGCAATATATTTAGTGAAGTTTAGTGATAGTCATATGTCATCTAAAAAAAACTGACTACAAAATCCTATAGATGTACTGATACTGACAATTCAAAATTTCCTGTATCTAAACAATATGGGTCGTACCATTACCAAAAAAGAAATAAGTCTTGTCTAATTTCCCGCATCTTATGAGTGGCAGATTGCTATCTTTACAGTATAAATGCCACTATCTTCAGAATATGATAGCAGTTAAGCATCTAAGTAGTGTAGAGTTGTCGTTGCAGGCAATTACTCTATATTCAGTCTCAAGATTATATTGCAAATATTTTATATAATAAGACGCTAGCTACTAGACAAAAAAAAAAAAAAAAACATGTTAAATTAATCCAAATTATTATGCTTTTGATTTTGATTTTGTAACAGAAATTCCTTAACTATTATAGGATATATCCCAGCTTTCATTGAAATTAACGAACATAATGAATGATAAAAATTTTTCAAATCATGGCAAATACTACAATTTAGTCGCCTTTTCACCACTGCCGTTAAACCTGCCAATAACATAAAAACAATTACTAGCAGAATTCAATTATAGTACTGCACAAGTGTTCTAAATTCTTTCACTGTTTTAACGGTTCTTTATTAAAATTAGTTTAATAATAGTTTATATGTCATCTAAAGTTTACATAACACAAGCTCATGAGCGAAGTAAATAGCAACAAAATTTTACTTACACACAATAGCATTTATATAAGAAGGCTAATTTTTATGTTTTTAATCTTATGAAAATTCTTAAGTATTTAAAAGTTTATTTAATTCAAACGTTAAATGACAAGTAGGATTTAAAAAAAAACTAGTAGTAAACATCATCTGTCCTTTCTTTTCAAATATAGTTCTTTTATTTATATCATACGTTCATACATGCATATATGCCCCATCTAAATGAGGTGATCAGACGTGTACACAAAAGTCCTAGAAAAAAAGGCTTGTACTTGCAAATGAAAAATATTATTAGTTTTAAGTTTCTTTTCAGATCATTATGCCAAAATATAAAAACAAGTTTTAAATGCAATCTCATACCCTTTTTTTCATAATCAAAATTACATTTTACATAATTACAACAATGCAATACCCAGAAAATATCAACTCTGGTTTCATTTAATAAAATAAAAACTATTATATCAAATATTTATCTGCTATATTGAAATATAAAGCATTTAATTGCATTTATTCATTCATCGTAAAGTAATTTTCTTTCAGCATAATTCACTTGCACGACAATTGAGGTATCAAGTAATTTGTAGTATAATAATTGTGGTACGCTCCAGTGTTGATTCTGCCTAATTTTTCATTTAAAAGGAAATGACGCAGAGCAAATAGTGGCTTAGATTTTCAACTTAAAGCTGTTTTAATGCTAAATATTTTCAAGCTTTCAAATCCAATTTAAATATTTGCCAAAGAAGCTCTTTTATATAAAATATTTTTTATAATGTATCTAGAACAGACTAGTTTAATAATTGTTGGATTTGCTTTATATATTTTCCTCTTTAGTACAACAAAACTTTAAAAATTCACTTTAGCTTAAAGCGAAATTTTTTAATTAAATAATCTGCATTTTACACCAGAAAATTATTTTTAATTTCATCCGCTTATTTTTAATTAGATATTTTAATTAAATATACACTTTAAATTTTTTAAAAAATGTCAAATCACAAAGCTGATGTATTTTTTGCTCTGCGAACATCCAAATCAGGAAGGGAAATATCCACACTTATAGATGCAATTGTTGTTTTTATTACCGAAAAGAAAAATCCTTGCATTCTTTGTGATGCTCTGTTCCCAAAAGGACCTGAAAGGAAAAACAATAATCTTTATTATGACTTGACTCACGCTTCTTCAGAGTAATTAATTTCTAGCGATAAAAAAAAAGAATTGTTTCACTTAGAAAAGATTCATAGTTATTTTTTTTTAAATCATGCTGATTACTAAAATCTATAACATAAAAAAACAGCAAAATTTGCTGGAACCTTTCTTCACAATCAATTCAACATCTTTAAGCCACACTGCATATTTTTATGAAAAACAGTCGCATTAAAACTGTATATAAGTTTGCAGCAAAAAGAAAGTTTTCTAAATACATGAAAATAACTTAACAGATAACTTACTGTTCTTTAGAATCAAGCTTAGTTTACTGATGTTAAATGCAGTGAACCAGAAAACAATCGTAAACATTTATACTGCTTTAAACATTTAATAAAAATGAATATTATAGGGGCTTTATCTTCAAACAACTATTTTTAATTTATCATACGTATGAAGAATTTCCTTGCTAGATCCCATGTGTAACGTGTATACGAGCCAGTTTCCCTTAGAAAGTCCTCCACGAAGGCATCCCTCCCCTTAGGCAGATAGCCCTAGTGTGCTTTGCCGTAATTAAATACACCACATCAACATCACACCTTGCTAGATCTTGGCTTAAGTAATTAGCTTGCAGAATCACTACAAAAAGCTTAAGTGATTGCCTTATACCAAAGGTGTATAAGGTAATCAATTAAGTACTTTTTTATGCTTAAGTGATTGCCTTATACACACTTTTTTATTTCTTTTAACATTACTTAAAGAACATTTGAAAAGTAAAAATTACAGAAATTATTACTGTTGGAACCTGAAGTAAAGTATTAAAGGAATCGCTTAAAACGTTCGTTTTACCTGCTTTTATTACAAAACAAATGTAACAAGATAAAATGTAATAAAATAAAATAAAAGCCTACAAAGTAAATTTCTATGTCTGTATGAGTTACATCGATGTGCGTTAAAGAAGTAAAATTAGAGGAAAGGTTATCGTTTTTATTATTATATTTTTGCACTGATAATAACTAACAAATAGTATTACAACGGAATGTTTCAAATAAAAATTAAAATTTCACTAATTATTGGTTTTTAATTTGAAATTAGTAGCACACGGTTTTGAGGTGAGTAAAAAAATATGCAAATTTTCAGAGTAAAAGCAATTGTTCAACAAATTAAAGAATTTTTTCCTGTGTCTCATTTTGCTAAAGTCATCTGTTTGTTATACTTTTTTACTAGATAAAAGCATGTTTTTAATAAAAAAGCGAACAGCAAAGTAACATTTTTAATTGAACTATAAATTGTGGTATTTCTTTTGCTTAGTTGCTTATTATAAATATTTCTTCAACAAAAGTCCAAATGCAGACTATGTTAATTTTAGAATAATTCTTTTTATATCAAATGATAACAGCAGGCAACTAGATAAAAATGTTAGATTTTAGTCATCAAAAATACAAGTTATATGTAATATTGCTAAATGGAAAGATTATCTGTTTATTAATGTTTTACATATATTGAATCAGAAACTAGTAGATACTGCTGTTTTTTAACAAGTAAATTTACTGCTATAGAAGTAAGGAAGTATTTTGTTTTAGAAACTGAGAGTCAAAGTTTTATTTTAGAATTTTTTTTTTTTTTTTTTTTTTTTTTTTTAGAAAAATAAAACATGGGACGAAAGCTGTTAGTAAAACTTCACCCAAACATACTTATGCTAACAACTTATGCTAAGCAACTTGCATACAGCTAAAGACCAAAGTCTGAAGTATAAATAGACGAGCAAAAATACAGAAAAAGGAAATGTGTCAATTAGAAACGACTATGTTAAAAAACATTTTATAATAAAATAGGAAGGATCTAAATAAATAAAAATGTGGTATTAAGAAAACTACTTACAATAACGGACAGGCTGTGCATTTAAAATAATTTCCAAAGGATGTTTCGCTGCTAAGTAAACTCTTAACTACTAACAGCAAAAACTACAGCCCCCAAAAAAGTACATTTCCGCTCTTTAAATAAAACATTCTGACAATGAATCATTTAATACTTGCCAGAAAAGAATATTTTTTGCTAACTGATTTAATGTGCCTGCTAGATATGTATTTTAGTATAAGCAGTTAATTTTAAAAAATAAATAAAGAAAATCAAAACCAAACCAAAAAATTATATAACATGAAAGATTTCCCATCCTTAAAATTCATTTAAGAAAAAAATTCCTTTTTTTTATTGTTATTTTTACCCATTACGTTTTTCTCCCCTTCTCCTCAGATCGATACCCACTTTTATTTATTCCACACACCGAAATAATTTGTTGGCGCCGAAGCTCTAAACTTGGCGAAAATTTGGCAGCAGTGGTGGCGCTGTAATGGCGGACTAGTGTCAGAAGATCGATGCGAAAGAAAGAGTCGGCTCTCAAGAGAAGTTGTATTATCGACCGAAGCGTAGCGGATGCCTGGTTTTTGTGTTTTTGTCTTTTTTTTTCCTTCAAAAAGCCTCGCCTCTTTTTCCACTTGCTGAGGACGGCCATCTTGGATGAGCAACGAGCCTCGTTTGGACTGTGATCAAAGGGTTAGAGAAAGGAAGCCAGTGTTTGTTGTTGCTGATGCGGTGTTCGCATTAGGCTTCTGATGTTTATGCGCATCTCGACACTCCAGGACATAAAATCAAAGTTAAAAAGGTATGAAAAAGAAGAAAAAAATTAGAACACAAAACATTTTTAAAAAAAAAAAATATTTTTTTTACAAGAATTTTATCGATTTTTGAAACTTCTGAGGACAATCGATAAATTAACGAGAGCATGAATAACAAATCCACTGCAGAAAATTTTCGAATTCCCTTTTTGTACAAGATAAAAAGCGGTGTTATCATTATGATTTTTCTTTAAGAGGAAATAATTTAACGTCAGAAATAAATATTTTGACAGTATGTGATGAGAGTTTTATATTTTTGTTTTCAAACTGATCGTATCTAAGTCAGTGAACTGTGAAAGTGAAAACATTACTATGACATGCAAACTATGACACACGTTAAGAAAGTTACTTTTAATACTGTTTTTTGCAAAATGTGATTTTTTTTTCCTCGCGTTCTCTGATTTTAGAGATTTACTGCTCACCAGTCTTAAACTACTCACCAGTGAGCTAAATTTTTTCACAGCATGTATAAGCCACGGGACAGATATGCAGAGAGAAATGGTAAGTTAACTCCGTCACTTTATTTTAAAATGATACGAGTTTTTTAAATTCTATTTATTTTTCACTTTTCGGGTCTTTATTACTAATGGCACGACAAGCTAGAGTAGACGAGGTATTTAAATTTCTTCCTTGAGTCTTACATTAAAAAAACATTTTTTAAAGTTTCCTAAAAAATGTAACAAAAATTAAAATAAAGCATTTCTTAATTAAGTTACAATGATCAGAACTGAGCATGAAAAGAGAAGTAAGGTGCCCATACTTCCTGATAATTCATAATGTTAAAGTAATTTACAATTTAGGTCATGTTACCATATTTTACACCACGTGCTGCTTTATAATTTAATTAATGAACTTAACTTCGGAAATCTTCCCAGTTGTATGCTAATTATTACATCCTGTATATTAAAGCATTTTTACTTAGCTGAATTATCATTGAATAAAAAAAGTTCTCTGTGATAAATAACTGAGTTTATGATAGAAAAATCTCGAATTATGTTATATGAATGGCACTGAATCACACAGAAAATTATTTAAAGCAACAAGCATTGAATTTATATTCATACCAATTAAGTTTATACAAATTTCAGAATCTAAATCAAAAATACATCTACAATCAAAAATCTACAATCAAAAATACATACATATTCATAGAGTCAACTGGCGGCCAAACATGTTTTTAGATTCTAGAATTTTTTTCCCAGTCGTTTGGTTGTTATATTCATGGCATTCTGTTATAAAGAAGTTTGTTTAGAAGTTTGTTAGTATATCATTGAATTTACATTAATCAAAATTATTCAGATTCGAAGGTCTAAGAGTATAGTGTGAATTAAATGTATTTTTAGTGCCTAGTATTATTGTAACATTATTTGATTTCACTCAAATGGAAATTTAACACGCAAAATTAATGAATGTGATTTTAAATGAAGCTTTAGATTATATACTTGAGAAACCGAGGAAAAAGGATCGAGTTTCATTTCATATCTAAAATAAATACTCGCACATACATATTTTGTAGAAGTGTAAGCATAAAATCTAAGAAGTTAACATTTTTATAAGTAAAAAATAATAATTGTTAATTAGAGGGTAAATATTATTTTACTGAGTGAATATAGGTTACACAGAAAATAGGTGAAATACATAAGAATCACCTTAATTTTAAAAAAGTAATTAAAGAGCACAAACAAAATTTATGAATAAAAGAAGAAATGGGTTTTATTTTCCTTTAACCCTCGTTTTTTAAAGCATTTTTGCCAAAACTAATGTAAACGTTTGATAAATGAAATAACATTTTACTAAAATGATGTAAGCTTATCCTTTAAAACTGAGTTTCCTGACATTAAATTACAATTAAATGAGAGATTGAGTTTTTAAATTTAAGCCAACTGCAACTTAAAGTTGGAGTTAAATATTAGAAAAAATTCCTGCAACTTAAAGTTGTAGTTAAATATTAGAAAAAATTCAAACTTCACGAGAGCTTAAGCTTCACAAAAAACGCATTTCAAGAAAGGGTGACACAGAGTTTCTCTTCGTCAAACAGAAAATATGCTTTTTGTTCGAAGGATTGCTCATGGAAGAGTAAAAATATTCTGCATATTTTGATAGCAGAAGACTTTTGCTCCTTGAAGAAAAGAGAGCTTATTTAATTTTCTCCCGAAATGCATGCAGTTGCCCTGTAAAATAAATGTCAATCTAGCCATATAATCTAATTGCTCATGTCATTTTTTCTCATATTCCAAGAACTCCATCTATCACCGATATCAGGGAAAGGTTTGTGCAGCTTGAAAGAATCTCATACGAGTCGTTGTTCTTATTTTATCCTTACTGAAGAAAAGAGGTCAGCATCATAAAATTTTGAAATGAATACAGATTTCTCTGCCGCCTATTTTATGTATGGCCAATAGTTTCTTTTGCTCTTTTCTGAATTACTTAAGCATTAGACTACAATATCTATGCTAAATTTAAACATATAACTGAATAAGCATAATTGTAAAGAAAATAGTGATTGTATAATTACAGTAGTAAAGTTAAAAATACTTATCTAATCATCTGTTTTACTTATTTTTGAAGTTAAATATGCCCTCCTTTATATACAAATTAAGTGGGTCTTTAAATTGTTAACACTTGTGGAAAATCCACATTTTTGAATAAAATATATGACTTATTCGAAATGGCCTGGTATTGAAACCTATTGCGATACCTTTATAAATGATAATTAACTTTTACATTGATTTTTAACGTAGTTATGAAGCCCTTTTTATAAAGCATGCAGAAATTATATTAATATAAAAATGATAAAAGAACTAGGTATTTATATTAATTGCTTTTATAATGAAATTTCTGCATCCAAAATAACTTGATATAACATGATAGTATTTTGGACATACCTAACTCATTAGTGCATTTTAGATGAAATTATTCCAGTTTTCGCATTTAAGCTCTAATTGGATGTCTTTAATTGTTAACAAGAAATTCAAGATGGATACTCTAAGTTTTTAAAATATATTATTAAAATCATAAGATTCTTTTACCTTTTCCAAAATACATATTCATAGAGCAAAATTATTTTCAGGTGCCTGCATGAACTTGAGATCACTTACTCAGCTTACATTTCAGTTTCATATAATGATTTCTTAATCTCATTTCTGGATAATATTTTTCTCTCTGGGAAAACATCGGAAAAAAAGGAACCTAAAACTCTCATATAACTTAAAGAAGATGTTGGGAAGGGGAAGATAATATAAATATATTACGAAAGTAATCTAGCATCTAGTCATAAGCAGAACACGGAAATTAGCATCTTTGCATGCAGTATAGACATACTCTTTTCAAGACTGTTATCGTTCTTAATAATAACTAGGTGGTCATCCTTTTTTGCATGCCATAAATAACTCACGAGATTTATTTCCTGAAGAAATTTTGAAAGTCACCTAAAACAATACTCTTATTTGATTTTTTTCATTAATTTTTATATTGCAATTATCAAACTACAAGTTTATTTTGCCCTTCAGAATAATGATTAAATATTTGAAAGATTTTACAGAGTATAAACATCTCTGCCTAACAAAATTATGAAATTTTTAACATTAAATATTCTTTGAAGGGAGAAATTTATTTAATTTTTCTTTTATCTTGATGCATCTTTATTCTCGCGTTCTCGTCTCGCATTGATGCATCTTCGAGTCCCACACAACACAAATCTTGTTTGAGATATGTCCTCAAATTTCTTAATTACTTTTGTACACAAATACTAATGTTATTTTTTAAAATATTAAAAAATAAAGTCTTTGGTTTAAAATTTCGGTTTACGATGTTTCAAAATATTTAGTGACTAGTATAAATGGAGTTTCGTGCTTGTGATATGAATGAAGTAAATTGGATTGGTTTTAGTACTTTAAAATTTTTATTAGAATTTTGTTTAGAGTTTTAAATTATGAATATCAATACAGAGAGTTACAAATTTTTATCTGCACATTATTGACATCATAAAGACTTATAATATACGTATAGAAGGAGGGAGGTAATAGTTTTGAAATTTCAAAATTAAGATAAAAAATTATTAAATTATATATATGATATATATATATTAGATATTATAGATATATATATATAATACTAATATTCAATAGAATTTCTGCCAAACTTACACGTAAGTAGATTTTAAGTACTTCGAACGGTGGTGCAAGGCTTGTGATGACTACAATTTCTTTTGAGTAATTTTTATTATTTCGCTTCCAAAGATTTCAGTAAGAAATGAAATTTCAATTTGAGAAATGAAATGACAGAGCATATTTATTTTACAGACTTTCAAGTTCCTAAAGTATTTATTCAGATTTTCTAGGTATTATTTCCACTTTTCTTTAAAAATATCTCTAAAATCATCATTATTTAGAAGTTAATAAATAGTGATGCTCTTTCGATAAAACTTTCTACAAGATGAAACTTACATATCTATGAGGCCTAAAAAGAGTGCATTTGAAGGAAATCTTTATAAAAATTTTGGCAAATTTTATGAAATATTCTTCGTATGGACGAAGTGCAAATTTTCGAAATAAATTATTTGGTATAATTTACCATTAAGGAAAGAGGATTTTTTTAAATGATCCGCAACCATATAGACACACTTAAAAAAAATCAAATTTTCATTTTATAGCTCTTAGCCAAAAAATTTTTTAAAAAAAGTTTTGTACAAGTAGAGATTTCAAATAGAGATTTAAGGCAAATTTTTGTTTTTCTTTGCAATAAGCTTGGAATTTGCAAGATGAAAGCGAGGCACATATTTAGAAAAGGCTAATCAGGCATACGAAGAGGTCAATTTTTTTTCCTGTGCACAAAATGTATGTTAGCGTGCAGACTTAATGTAAGATTTTTACAATTTTCCTAAATTAAAACTAGAATTAGTATAACCTAATACATGTGTTTAATCAAGATTTAAGTGAGAATTTCAGTTAAATATTATTTATAATAAATATCCTCGTAAAATATGATATTAAACACAAAGAAGTCCATTTAAAATGATACGCTGTGAAAAAGATTTACTATGAAATATCAACTTCTTAATAAATATACAATCATATGGAAGAGAAAATTATTTCTATTTGCTCGTCTATCCACGCATTAGTATTAATGGATATTTATGAATGAAACCTTAATTGGGTCCCCAAATAAAAATTACTAAATTACTTACTATGTTTGCATCATGAGGTCTATCATTACAGTAGCAATAAGTGTATAACTTCCATGGTATTTTTTAAATAAATGCATAAGATTTTTTCGTAAACTACTCAGTAACTTCTGCGTGGAAACAATAGCGAATTCAGTTTAACTTTTAGTCTAAAATTAATCTTAATGAAACTGCCTTTAGTAAAACGGCGTATGAAGTAAAGTTTTTCTTATTTTTATGGCTTTATAAAACTTTGCCATCCATACATGCAGTTTATATAGTTTATGGATTTATATTCGACCAGTTTTACAACACTCGTATTAGTATATTTATGTAATTTTTTGTAAGAACTTCAATCATGAATTTCTGATTGTTTTTTCGAGATACTTCAACATGCTTGACTTTCTAGAATTAATAACCTATACTGCCTATATAATTTCAAATTAACTTGCATTAAACGTAAATACTCCAGTAGCATTTTTTCTGCTTTACGTTTTAAAACATAACATGTAAATATACTTCTATCATAATCATAGCAAGCTTCCCAAAGAAGTTCAGCTCAGATTGTTTCGTGTATTGCTTGAATCGAGTAAAGATTAAAAATTCATTTTGATGACCCAACGAGCATAATAATTAATATTTTTAACTTTATTAGCCTACTGAGTGATACTAAGCTGCTTTCTTGAAAGTGCAGTTTTATATTGAAATACACATATAATATTATTCTTTGATATGCCTCTTAAAATTCCTGGAAGGATTTCTCGAAAAAGCATTTTCATTTATTTTACTTTATTTTCTGCCAAAAACCCCCTAGAAAACTTTCTAATAATTAATGTGTAGAACTTTCAATTACAAGAAATGCAACTTGGAGCTCAGTTGCTTTTAAAATTCGAAAAGAAATGGTTTTCAAAAAGAAGTAGGGTGGACAACTTTCAAATCATCAAAATGAAATACAGTTAAGCAATAACATTTGTGACTATGCTTATATTAGGAAGCACGGCTCTTCTGTTTTCAGTTTGTGTTTAATTATAGTTATTAGTAAAATGCTCATAGAAAATATCTGTGATAAAAAAATAACAGGAAGATGCATGTTTTGATTGGAGGTTCGAAACTTTTTTTTTTTTTTTTTTTTTTATGTGGATGCCAAAGTTGTACAATTCAGATACTTGCTTTATGTAAAAAATAAGATAAGATCCAAAATTAATGTATAGTATATATTAACTAAAAAATTATAAAATTATTTAGTGGTTCTCATTTTGAAATCTGTTTCAAGTGTTGAAATCTGTCTCTATGGCTTCAGGTGGTGCTTATAGCTTTAACTCTATTTAGAAAAACTTTTAACCTGACATGCTCTTCTTTGTGTAAAGAAAAAAAAAGAAAAGAAAATATTTTTAAATTTACATGAGAGACCTTATTAATTCAGACAAAGTATAAATAAGCAATTTATATTTTTAAAATGCGCAATGAACGTTAAGTCTGTAACATTTTTAAAATTCGAATTTTTTAACAATACTTCGATTCATTTAACGAGTTTGCTTGCAGTGCCATTTGAACATATTTTGTACGAGTGTTACGCGTTTAATAAAAAATCCTGGACAACACTAATTTTGCTTTGGCTAAACTTAATGCAGCACTAGTTATGGTGTAATTAAAAAAAATGTAACATCCATTTACTTTTGATAAATCAAGACTCTTGATAATTGCAATACAGTAAATTACTTATGAAGGTTTTCAGCTTTGTATCATTATAACCCAAGGTATTTATGGATATTAACTTTCTGACTGTTTCCAATAGTTCTTCAAGTCATCTCTTTTCTTTTATACGTATACATCAACTTGGTCATTCTGTTAGTAAAAATTCTCTAAAGCAACCCTTCTTTCCTGTATTACCATAGAAAACAAAAATATTTTACATTCTTCCTCCTGTTGTTTTTTCTTAGATTTTATGAATAGAAGAAATCTCTGTGTCTTAGAATTTTCCCTGTTCGTAGGAAATTAATTAAAGGTCTTAGTATCTATCGTTACTCCAGAATATGTTCACAGAATTTAGCATTATTCTTTGCATTAATTAGCATTTAAAATGAAATTTGCATTTAATTTATTAATAGCTGTACTTCGAGAGTTACTATTAACAGGTGCAGTTATTTGACAAAAGAAAAAAACATGCGAGGGCTCCCAAACTTAGACGGAAAGCTTTCATATAGAATTTCTTTAAAAAATTCTGTATATTCCTACTGCTCATGTTGCAGTTGACAGAAAACACAAAATGCCATGCATTCTCCTAGACTCGAACTCAAAAGACTACCATTGTTCAGGAATCCTACACATCTGGTCGCTTAGTATCAGAAGGATTCTACTGGATTTAAGGGAAGGGATAACCTCTGGGAGGACGTTTCGAGGGAAAGCCACTTATATTCACGAAACGAGTATAGAATACCTCAAAAACTCACAAATAGACACTCATTCGCTGGGATTTAAACTCGGGTTGAATTACCAGTATTCAGCAATTCTATTGCTCCGCTCCTGGTGGGCCATTAAAATAAAGCATATTTGTCAGTGTCAGATACTAATTTTCTTTCCCTAATAAAAACTCATTTTGTCTGATTTAGCTGACTATTCCAAATAATACTATTACGATCCACCTAAAAAATGTGTGTCTTCGTGGAGAACTTTCTAAGGGAAATTGGCTCGATTTTAAGTTAGATTTTCAGAAAACCCCCAAGCAGCCAGCTCGTTAGCTGAGATTTTACCGGATCGAAATTCCAGCTTTTAGCTACGTTAGACTGAAGCAAATTGCAAACAAGAACAACATATGCTTAAGGTTCTTATGGAGTTTAAAATATTTAGCACCAATATTCCTCTACAAAAAATTTGCATTCATTTAAGGCAAGGCAATTAATTCATAACGAAAGTACTGCAAATGTATCGAAACAAAGTAATTATAACTTTTACTGCAATTTGAATTCTTTTTCCTGA